TGAACCAGGAGGAATAAATCTCTGTAGATGTTTGTGTGGTTTGGAGACAGCAGGAGGCGTCTTCTGTCCTGCAGCTACAATCTAACTTCCTGTCTCTGTCAGTCCATCAGTGTCTCTTTAACATCATTAGAGGACAGAAATGAAACAAAGATCAAATCCTGGACTTACTTCTTGTTGTATTAGTTGGTGGACATGTTGAAGGAGGACATGTTGAAGGAGGACATGTTGAAGGAGGACTTGTTGAAGGAGGACATGTTGAAGGAGGACATGTTGAAGGAGGACATGTTGAAGGAGGACTTGTTGAAGGAGGACTTGTTGAAGGAGGACTTGTTGGTAGCAGCGGTTCTGTGGTTCCAGAAGTAGGACTAGAAGGCGTGGCGGGACAAGATGGACACGTTGCTGGTGGTGGAGATGTAGGCTGGTCGATGCTTTCTGTTTAAAAATAAATGTCAAAATAAATGTTGGAACTGAAGTATGACAGACTCCTTTATTGCAGGGCTCAACAGAAAACAAACAAAATTCTCTCACTGATGCTTATCTCTTAACTTGGGTAGAAGATTAATTTGGCTCTTCCTCTTCATCACTTCCTCTTTATTTTCAGTCTCAATGTTTTTGACAGTAAAGCCAGTTAATATTTGACAATGATCACAGGTTGATTTTATCCAACATTAAATATCTAGGTTCAAAGTCTTCTATTAACCTTTACTTTTCATTAACACAAAAAGTTTTTTACATCAGTTTTTCTGTTTCTTTTTTGTGTCTGTGCTCCGACTTCTCAAACGGTGGTTGTGGCAGACGGCTGCTGGTTCTGAGCCAGTTACCAGCAGCCACTAGTTACCAATCTAGTTAAAACTAATTTTAACTAGATTGGTTAATTAATTGGAAATCATTTAAAATATTTTTTGCAAAATGCCTCACATTTGTGGTGAATTGGCGCTACATAAATAAACTGAACTGAATGTTTTCTGCTGAATTAAAGAAAATGAAGTCCTGATGAATATTTAAATATTTCCAACAGTGTTAAAATAATTAAAATCCCAGATCTGACAGCTCTAAATGAAACTCTGAGTCTCACGTGAGATGTTTTTCTTCAACATGTCGATCTCCTCATTCAGGCTTTGGAGAGCTTTGTTGTTCGTTATATAAAGTGCAACTGGTTAAAGAAAAATAATTATGATCACTTAAATGCAAAATAACATTTCTCATTATTTACAAACTTACTTTGTAAAAAGTAGCATTTATTTAATGACATTTTACTCCAGAAGCTACTGTGATTTCAGTTTCTGGTTTAATAGCTGCTGAATTTTTCAACTGGTTATGTTAATAATGACTATGAAGAATATTCAAAACCAGCAGATAAAAACAAATAAAAGACAAGACATAAAATGTTTTTTTGCTAAAAAAAATTTTTTTAATCACATTTAAATATAAATTTAATATTAAGAGTTTGTTTATTTGACTTCTCTTCATATTTTCACAGGTAAAATTTTTTCAGACCCAGGCCGCTAGCAGCAGCTGCCAAGAGAACGACGAGACTGATGAGAACCACCAGAACCGCTGGAGACATTTTGGACTTCCTGTCCGGTTGTTGAACATCTGCTGAACAGTGAACAGAAAATCAGAGGGGAATGGATATCTGATCAATACTTGATAACCTAGCATGCAAACATGATGCACAATATAAAATACACAGATGAAAGATGTTTACCCTCTTTTTTTTGAACGTGAATAGATAAATCCTTTGTGTCTGAAACAGAGACAGAAATATCTTTTAATGTCCTTCAGTTGGGAAACTCAGTTATAGAAGCAAAATGGAAGCATACAAATTTGCACAATGATAAAAATGCATAAATAAATAATTGTAGTGCAAGTTCAAATTTACAACATTAAGATAAATCTGCTCAGTTACTAAGAAAAACCCAGATTCAAAGAAACGTGCATCTGAGAATGATAATTTAAATCTGCATCTGTATTTTTCCAGATAACAGAAACACAACAGACTTTTTACAATTATATAAATGAAAATTAAGACTGAAATTCACTAAACTGATGTTCAAATCACAAACAACTGAAATGTTGCATTGCTGCACAGTTCATTGCTACAAAAAATGAGAAGTTAAACACTTTGTTCCCTGAGGTGACATATTTCATAGGTAGGAAGCATCTGATGTTATCAACGATAAAACAATAAATAAACTGAAACATCACCTCACAAGTCCAATCAATCATAAAACATCCTAAAACTCTGAGGTTATTTATTTATAACCATTGTAGATGATTTACAAAATTGAATCGCTAAACTAAAAATGATAAAAATAGGTCAGGTTGCAATTATATTTCTTCTTCTTTTCTTTTTGTAGCCCAAATCAGAGACTCATGGATATGTTTATAGTCAGATTTTTAAAATTCATTTAAATTTGTCCAGACTATGCAGTAAAATCTCTTTTGTGACAACTTCCTTGTAAATATAACTGTCATGATCCGTGGTTTTCTGTTTATTTTGAGTTTTTCTGTGTTCAGTCCTGTGTTCCTGTGAGTCTCTGTCCTGTCCTCCCCGTTGATTGCTCCCCAGATGTGTCTCATTCCCTTGATTACCCCGTGTGTATTTAAACCCTCCTGTTGTCTGTGTTCCTCGTCGGGTCCTTGTCGTCGTTTGTCTAACGTCTCAGTGTTGTTCTCACTAGCCAGTAGAACTGTTAAGTCCTGGTTTGTGTTTGTTTCCGTTCACTCGCCAGTA